AGACCGGCGATAAGTGACGGCATATATAGATAATTGAATAGCAGACAGGGAGATAGAGACAGATAATCGAGTCAAGCCGTAAGTAAAGTGTGTAAATCATTGTGAATTATAGCGTGTGTTTAAGTTAAAGTGACTGTAGAAATTAAGTATATTGCAAAGTTGTATTGAGAAAGAATAAACTAGTTTTATTTAAGAAAAGACTTGTATCGCTGAAGTTCTTCGGAAATAATTTTTACGGAAAATTAACCAAGAACACAGAGACGTAACAATATTATGATAAAAAAACTGCATACCAACAGTCAGGAATAAATAATTTCCAACTGCAGTAATATTAAATTCAATTTTGCATATATATACATACGTGCAGGACAAGGAGAATCTATAATATTAGAAATAAACGACCTTAAGATACTAAAATTTGTTATTTTTCTTCAGTTGTACATTCAGTGTTTCACTTTACAGCATCTTCAAGAGCGTTCCACTAAAACACAAACCGTAACTGACAGTACAAAGCTTCAAATGGTCTGAATAATAAATTATAATCGTATCTATAGCGTGCATTTCTACACCATGCGTGTGACATATACAGTTATAAAGCTTATTGTTGAAATAATTGAATTGTTTCTACCCGAAGTAAATAAAAAGTTCTATCCACGTTACAGAGTGAAATAACAAAATATATGAAAAAAACAAAAACAAGATAATTTTAATTATAGACGCCATCATTTGTAGCTATTTATCTGTGGTCGTAGTTGTTCGATGAGAAGAGATTCTTTGAATTTTCTGTCAGTGTACTTGGTGGCTTTGGTGAGGCTTTGTAAGACTTTGTACGGAGAATTGTGGTTTCAAGTCAGGTGTTATTTGTTCATGATGAGTTAAAAGACCATCTACAAGTGCGCTTTTTTCATGTTGTTGTTTATAAAGAAAGTCGATATGTTCTCCCATCTTCCGGTTTCCCTAATGCACGTATTATGACAGATATTACATGCAAGCTGGTAAACAACCTTAAAGACAAGACAGCCATCTTTAGTTTGTGAACACGTTTTTTGTAAGACAGTTGGCTTTATTACATTTTAAGGTAGTGTACTGAGATTTTGAAAATTGTTTTTTTTATGTGTGTGTTGAACTTGGTCTTTCTACAACTTTAATCGGCAGTTCAGATTTCCTGATTATAATTTGTATTTTCGTCAGTTAGTGGTACCATAAAAGTAATCTTTTTTGTGTTATCTTTGGAAAATTGTAGTCCTTTTTCCTCCTTTGTACTTTCAGTTACGGTTTGTGTTTTAGTGGAACGCTTTTGAAGAAGCGGTAAAGCCAAACGTTGAGTGTCCAATTAAAGAAAAATAACTATTTTGGTGTTTTAACGTCGTTTATTTTTAATGTTAAAATTACTTTTATACACCAATGTGCACTACAAAAATTAAATAACAAGAATCTATAATGTTCTTTAAATATAAGTCAGATCAGACCCACAAGTATAAGTTGGAATAAACAAACTAGGCCTACAAGCTACATAGAATGAAAAATGTTGCAGGTCAAACCACCGAAGACAACAAGGATTTAACTACATATATATATATATATTTGAATATGCTATTGTGGGTACAACGTTTCGGGCAATACCCTACTAATAACTGACTCAAAAGTAAATCCGCAAACGAAAACATTCAAACACTAAAAATAAATGACGTTAAAACACCAAAATGTTTCTTCAATTGGACACTCAACGTTTCGTTTTACCGCTTCTTCAGGAGCGGTCCACTAAAACATAAACCGTAATAAATGTTTTTGTTTACGGATTTACTGTTCAGTTAGTGATACTTGAAGAAGGGCATTGCCCGAAACGTTGTATCCACAACAGTATATATATTAAAATGTACATATTTGTAGTTAACTCCTTGGTGGTTTGACCTTTCAACAACCACTACTACAGGCTACATATGCTATTTATATTGGAACATTATACGGGTAAGACACCTACCTAGGTAGTTAATGAAGATCCCGGTGGTGCTGACTTGATGCTTTGAAAGTTTACATAGATTTCAGAATGTTTACAGGAGTATTAGATTTTGTCATATTCTACATAATTTAAGTGGCATTGCTGGCGTAAGTATTATTTCAAAATGTGCACTCGCCGATCACTTTGCAAGTGAGTTATTTTTTCAGAAATAACGCCAGACCCTTATAGATGGCGTGGGCGTTTTTACAGTTTATCAGAGTTTTCAGTAAAACATAATACAATGTAATATAACTTGAGACAAGTAATAGTGGCATGTCCCACTAACCACTCCACTGATGTACAGTTGTACCAGCATAGTTAAAGTTAAAATACCAGAGATAATACTATTTATTACTTACTACTATTTTTGAAACTATTGAACTTTTAAAGTTTGGCCACATCTGTTTACTGTCTTTCTTTAAAAGCGCCTTTTATGCCTGACTAATTATACTTCACAACTCATTCCTCTTTTCGTGTTTGAAAGTTCCGAAATATGCAAATAGTACAAGAAGTATTCAGAAATTTCTGAAGTAGCGAAATGTGATAAACTGATTCAATTTGTAATGACTTCATCATACGCACTAGGCTTAAACTTAAACGTTAGTTAATACGGAATTCTAAAACCCTCTGATCTGAACACAAACGATTAGACCTAACCGAAAAGTATGAAAATAAAAACTACGCAAGTAGACTTCTCTAGAATACCTATTAAGAAACTACCAAATAGTCTGTAGGGTAGTCAGAACCATAATACACTTTGGATCCTATTGGTTAGAGTAACTACAAGGAAAATGTAATATGAAGCTATAATGAGACATACATGCACAATAAATTAGTTTCAACTGAAGAAAATGGATAAATCTATCTTCTTTCGTCTGTTGGTTAACAATTAGTCCACTTCGACCACGATAATTATAAATTAAGATTAGGCTATTGCACAAAATTCTAAAAAATATTTCATAAAAAATCATGAAAAAAATTTCTGGGATGGTTTTTCGTTTTTAATTGAAAAGAACGTGTAGAATATCTTTACCATAAGGCCCATGGTGACGGAAATTCCTCGACCACAGTAGGTATTCGGAACAATGTCGCCATAACCAACAGAAAGGAAGGTGATAGCAGTGAGCCACATCGTATTCAACAAGTTAGCGTGATCTTCGTCGTGATACCTAAATGGAAAATAAATACTTGAATTGATGCGATTTGGAAACTCTGTCTTATGACCAGTTTGTTGACATATGCCACGTATTCAGACAGATGAACTAATTTCTACTCGTATGAACCTGAAAAAGTTTATAGTTTCTGGTCGTCCTGTTTAACTTGTTATTATAGTTTGTTGACATATGCCACGTATTCAGACAGATGAACTAATTTCTACTCGTTTGAACCTGAAAAAGTTAATATTTTCTGGTCGTCCTGTTTAACTTGTTATTATAGTTTGTTGACATATGCCACGTATTCAGACAGATGAACTAATTTCTACTCGTATGAACCTGAAAAAGTTAATAGTTTCTGGTCGTCCTGTTTAACTTGTTATTATAGTTCTTGCGCTCAAAACGTTTACTTTGAAGACAGAAATATCTTATTTTCACTTTACCATATTCCACATTATTATCATCGTTATCTATTTTCTAATTAGCAGCGACCATAAAAGATTCAAAAATCATATTTTATAGGAAAATATTACTAATAAGTTATATATAAGTAATGTGTATTATGTAAGCAGTGTAAAGGAACCAGCTTCAGCATTCGAAACCTATTCTAAAAACGACTTAACATAAATATGAGCTCTACTTTTTAGAAAAGCTGAAGTACTGTTATATTCAAATATCAGTTTCATTTTCTTAAAAAGTTTAGGTCTTTATTTTAGCAAACGGTCGAGTAAATCTTGTGAGCTTATATTAAGCATTTTTTCTCAGTTTGACTGATTACGTAATATAACTATTTTGCTGACTAAAATGGCTTAAATAATATCTTTTTGACGATGTATAACTACAAAAAAGGAAATTTCTGTGGTATTATTTGTCGTATAACTCACAAAGGTAATTTTATAAATTAAATAATACTCCTATCTTCTGTACATTTTAATTATTTCAAATATAATCTTTTGTGTAAGCAGTGAAAAGACAACAGAACAATTGTAGCTTTGAAACTGCATTTTTCATATTTTGAATATATTCATCTCTAGAAATTTCTTGCCATTTGTGTTATATGTGCGTGTGGTATACATATATATATATAATAAGCATTACAGTAGAATACCATTGTCGGTCCTAGTTGTCAACTTGATATAAAATGTAATGCTTATTATATATTAAGTCTATTGTTGTTTTATAGTGCTGATTTAATTGCCTATTAACAATTAATGTAACTAATAGTATTAGAGATATTTATTTATATATATTATATCTCTATATATAAACGTCCATCTGTTTGAACACATGACATATGTCAATTTGAACAATTTGATTATATATATAAATTATATAAAATATAATTTATGAATTTCTATGGTCGTTGCTAATTAAAAAATAGATAGCGATGAAAATAAATAAGAATATGGCAACGTGAAAATAAGAGACTTCTGTGCTCAAAGTAAATAACGTTTTCATCTCAAGAATTATAGTAACAAGTTAAAAACGAAGGGTAGAAGTCGTTATGTTATTAAGTATTTTATATATATTCTTTTATATTAAAATTTGTATATGCTAGGTAATAAATTTAAAACTTGTCGTATTCAGAACCATATTAAATATATTTTGAGTATTCTATCATTCAAAATGTGTAAATTATCTGTAAATATACGTACATATATATATATATACACACATATATACAAACACGCACGCACACATTTATCATAAAAGATGAGATTGACTCAGGAAGCTACAGTTTGTACAATTCCCTTTAATTTTGCTTAAGAAACAAACAAAAGTAGCTAGGTAACTTTTTGGTGAATAAGCAGAAAATAAATAATATATTTGTGATAATAAAATTAAAGGAATCAGATGTCTAATCATAATGAGGTTGCA